ATTGCGAATATCGCTGAGCATAGTGATAGCCACCGCCTTTGTTTTAGTGAAAATATAATTGGAATAATAAAAAGCAAAAAGCGAAACAAATATTGAAAAAACTATGGTACTCTTGAAGAAACGAAAGAGGGAAATTCCACTTGCTTTCGCAGAGGTGAGCTCCGAATTTTCTCCAAATTTCCCCATAGTCATAATACTGCTCAAGAGAATAGCGAGCGGAAGTGCACTGGGAATAAGGGTAGAGGAAGTATACCAGATAAATCTGAACAAGTTTTCATTGTCTATACCTTTACCAATGAGGTCATCTATGTAAACCCATAGAAACTGCATGATGAGTACAAACCATGCCAATAAAAACGTAATGACAAACGGACCTACATATTGCTTCAATACATACCAGTCCAGTTTTTTAAAAGTAAAGAAGTCGATGAGTTTGTTCAAGACTTTATTTTTTCGACACTAAGGAACGAAGGCTCAAAGAGAATTATTTTCTGTAAACTTTGTAACTTAGCGTCTTTGTAGCAATTTTCAAATGTTTAAAGTTACACCAACATATTCACAGGATTCTCCAAATATTTCTTGACATCCCCTAGGAAAGCTGAACCTACTGCGCCATCTACTACTCTATGGTCACAACTAAGTGTCATTTTCATGACTGAGGTAGGAACTACTTGTCCATTTTTCACACCTGCGATATCTTTCATAGCCCCTACTGCTAAAATACAAGCATCTGGAGGATTGATTATAGCCGTAAATTCTTCTATCCCCATCATGCCGAGATTAGAAATGGAAAAGGTATTTCCTTTCATATCATCGGGTAATATTTGTTTGTTTTTTGCTTTTTCTGCATATGATTTGCTGCTGGCAGCTATTTGACTCAGACTGAGCATATCTGCACTGCGTATTACTGGAACAACTAATCCATCAGGCACAGCGACAGCCATACCGATATTCACATGATGATTAATGCGAATCTTATCTCCTAGCCAAGATGCATTAGCGTATGGGTGTTTTTTCAATGCTAAAGCACATGCCTTAATGACTAGATCGTTAAATGAAATTTTAACTGGGGAAAACGTATTCAATTGCTCTCTAACTTGTTTTGCATTATCCATATTGACTTCGATAGTCAAATAGAAATGAGGAGCTGTGTACATAGACTCTGCTAGTCGCTTCGCTATTACTTTTCTCATCTGAGATAATGGAATTTCTTCAAAAGATTCTTGACCTATAGGAAGATTCTTTAGTAAACTAGCTCCATTGTCTGCAGCTCCACCACCTTGATAAGACTCTACATCTTTCTTTACTATTCGACCTTCTTCACCACTCCCAGATAGATTGGAAAGATTGATGCCTTTCTCCTTGGCTATACTTTTAGCAAGAGGACTGGCTTTTATGCGTTGATCTGATGAAGAAACAGTTTGAACTACAGGAGCTGCTGTCTCGGCAACTATTATAGCTTTAGCTTCTTCCTTCACTTCTTCTTTTGCAGGACTTGTAGTTGCAGGTGCTTCGCTCAATAGACTTTGAAAGTCCTCGCCTTTCTTTCCTAATATGGCTAATAAACCATTGACAGGAACAGAATCTCCAGACTTAGCTGCGACATATAGTACCTCTCCGGATTGGAAACTTTCAAAATCCATGGTAGCTTTGTCGGTTTCTACCTCAGCAACCACTGTGCCTGGTTTAACGACGTCACCTACTTTGATTAGTAAATTCGCTATGACACCTTCTTCCATTGTGTCACTCATTCTTGGTAAATTTAATCTTTCTG